ACCACAACAGTATGGAGAGTATGACGTTAGAGGGTTAAGTCATTTTGTAATAATATGTTCTTACATGGCAAGTAATTTAATTCTATTTCTGCATTTTCAGCAGATAACTTCCATATTTTAGATCATGCCTCTACCTGCTTTTGAACTTAAGATAAAAGAGGCAATTTATATTCAAAGAGAATAATCATCCTTGAATCAGCAATTGCACCATGTAAATCTAAAACTATCCTTTTAATTCTCACACTTTCATGCTTTACCTCTTTTCTTGTTGTCACTATTTATCATAATTAGCATTGCTCTATTTACTATATAATTCAACTTTCAACACTTTGTACAGTAATTAACTGAGGATGACAGAAGTTTCTGTTGAAACATGTTTTACAGACTCAAAAGTTTTGTCGCTTTCTTTGAATTCTATTTCAATGAAAAAACTAGTTTTAATGCACAGATTTGTTAATATGGTAGCTGTCATTTAACCCTTCAACTCTCAGAAGTGATCAACATGAAACTTCTCCCTATAATATCTTTACATTATCCAGCAAACAGGCACAGTAATGAGAATATTCAAACTTATCAGGTAGAAGTTGTTATCTTGAACTTAATCAAATTCTGATAACTAATTTACAAGAATAAGTGTAACAGCTAGAGGAGAGAATTTACAATGAGATCTTGGGAGTTAATGGGTTAATTGTTGCATTCCTTTAATTGTTATGTGTAAGTGAAATTATTTTTTACAGATTCATTACAAGTCATACAAAATTTTAGATGGTTGTGGTTTTCTCCTTAGTTAACACTTCTTAGTAGTACTGAGTAACAAATTCTTGAGTCTTTACCATCCATTTTTATTCCTTCAATACAGACCACTAACTTAAGACTGGTGCTAATTCTTAACCCTTAACACCTCATATCAGTATGCATATTCTCCACACTGTTCCCTATACTTCTCCTAAGGTGCTGACAAGGAGAATTTGTTTATCAATCTAGATAATATTTAGTTAGTGATCATTTACTTTATTCTTATGACCTTACTGTGTGATGCATAGGTTATACTTTTGGAAGAAATTAGATGCTAGTCACTCTCAGGGGTTATTTTCTGGTGCGTTTATCCCACCTGGCAACTAGATCTTATGTAACCAAGTTATTGTTGATCATTTTAGCTTTTTTTTTTCCACAGGTCTGGGATATTGGAGGGCAACCTCGCTTTAGGAGCATGTGGGAACGATACTGTAGAGGAGTGAACTGCATCGTGTGAGTATTGATGAAGCTTAAGGATGTTAAGCTGCATTCAAATGGTCTGCTAAGGTTGATTTATGGAAAAAACTATGCTAACTAATTTTCAAGAAAAAGTTTGCAGCCAAACAGAGGGGAAGATGCCAGTGTAGATTAGACTAGAATTCTGTGAGTGGTCTGCCTTTTTACACAAAGGATTGTCAAGAACAATGCAAGAGACCCCACAATTTGTAGTTAAGTGGAAACTGTGGTAACGGGAGGGGAAGTGACCCTTGATGGCTTAATTACATTTATCTACTGAAATGTCATTGTGAAATGAAATGTTATTTTGGTTATGCAGGGCCTAAAAATGGTAGAAACAGCAACATGATGTAAATTGTTAAATTTTCCACATAATGTGTGTCAGCAACAAAATGAATACCAATTGAAATTATAGTAATTAATGCAGAGTTTTTCTCCAGGTATATGGTTGATGCTGCAGATCATGAAAAGCTAGAAGCTTCAAGAAATGAACTCCATGGGCTTTTAGAAAAACCACAATTAGCAGGCATTCCAGTAAGTAATACCTTAGACTCTCTTTTGTGAGAGATAGGGTAGCATGATGACAAGTAGGTTGGTACTCTGTGTCAAGGAGTATAATAGTTATGATATAGACCTATTGAAACTGATAAAATAGTTTTAAATAAACCTGCAACACACTAACATCCCATCCAAGCTTCAGTAGTTTAAAAGGTAGATGACTGTATTCAGTGAAAAGCTGAGTGTCTGGTGGATGGTCCAGATTTGTTTTTATCAAAGATACTTGCCTGTGGAATATCCATTTATCTGCTGGTGAGGATTTTCAATCCTTAGAACAACTGCTACTGCTTCTATTTGAGAAGTAGCTATTTTATGTAATGTAACATGGTTACTGGCTTGTAAAATTTATATCATATTGTTTCTTACTACTTTTTCAGGTCTTAGTTTTGGGAAATAAAAAGGATCTTCCCAATGCGCTAGATGAGAAAGAACTAGTGGAGAGACTGTAAGTAGAAAATGTCAGAAAGTGACTCTTAACCCTTTCACTCCTACGATCTCTTTAGTAATTCTCTCTGCATTCTGCCATAAAATTTCTTATTGTGTTAGTTTGGAGAATTTGGTTTTCACCTAATTATCCCAAAAATTTATGTTTTTTGTGATTCTCATCATTTGTCTGCTTTATATCAAATTGATATTGTAAGGAGATATTATCTTTTGGTCACTCATGGGAGTTAAAGGGTTAAAATGTAACCCCTTCCCCCCATCTTTCAAAAGAGATATATGATAGTGTATTTGCATCTTTGAAATGTCTTTTTTTTTTTTTTTTAAAGAAGTTCATTTTCCTTGTTTGTCAGTTTTAATTGTTATTAACCATCCTTGTCTCTTTCATACTTTTTGTCTTGCCCAACAACTATTTTATACAGTTTTATTCTTACAGTTTTTATACTATTTTATTCCTCAAGTTGAAGGTAGTTTCAATTGTTGCCTATTAATAAGTAACTCAAATTAATGTGGTGTACCTCTACCAAGAGCCATTTGTATTGTACATGATTTAATTCCTATGTCTCTAAATTTACTTTCTGACAGTAACTTGGCATCAATTCAAGATCGAGAAATCTGTTGCTACTCCATTTCATGTAAAGAGAAAGAGAACATTGGTAAGTAATGGGTAATGTAGTTTCAACTTTGTGAACTTTTCCTTTTTGCATCCTCTATGAACAATGGTAGTAGAACTGAGTGGAGTTCAATTTGGTCTGTAGTTATATGAGTGACTAACAGAATTGGATGACCTCAAAGCAGGAGTTCCATTTGTTAATCACCCATATGATTACAGACAGAATTGGACTACCCAAAGTCCTGTTACCAATTAATCAAAACTATGACAAAATTTGAGAAAGAAACTAAGCAATAGTTAAGTTTTCACAACAAAATAACAGTTCACTTGGCAAAATATGTGACAACAGCAGGCACTCATGACCCATACTGTCCACTTAAACAGCTATGACATGTCAACTGTCCTATCACACTGTCCAGTCACAAGCATGATGCATGCATTGCCCTATTAGTGCTCAAATTGGGCTGGTGACGACCAATCAGGCTTGAGAATTTTGTCATAGTTTTGATTTACATTTAACTTATATTTCTGTTTCTGAATCACAGATATCACTCTGCAGTGGTTAATCCAACATTCAAAGTCACGTGGTTGAAGTAATTGTAGATTCATTCAGATTCCTTGTAAAGAGGACAAAGGCTTGGTGCATTTGGCAGAATGAATGGGATCAGAGTGGCCATTTGCAATCAAATTTATAGAACTTAAAGAAAATACATGATGCCCTTTTTCTATTAATAAACTATAGTGAGTGCTTAAAGCCATCAACGTGTTTTAAATCCTATAATATGACGTACCCGTAGTTACCTTTCAGCTCCCAGAAGTGATTAACATGTAAGTTCTCTCTATTTTTACGCATACTTTATCCTGCAAACAGGTAATGAGAAGACTCAAACTTATTAAATAGAAGTTGTTATCTTGATCTAACACCAAATTCCCATGACTAATTTACAAGGTAAAGTGTAGCAGCTAGAGGAGAGAATTAACAGTCAGATCTTGGAGTGAAAGGGTTTATTAGAGAGTCCAACCGCTATTTTCTGTATGAACTTTAAAATAAAAAAAAAATACTCATAACCAATCATTTTTGTGAAGAGTTGCATTTGTCTGTCAAGAGTTGTGGGCTGGGTTTTTAAAAAGAACAGACAATGTGATCCATAGCAATGAGGCAGAGAAATGTTGAAGGGTTTACCTTGCAACTGTTGAAAGAAAGTGTAAATTGTATTAACACCTTAGGGAAAGAGTCAACTAATTTATGTGCTTTACTGTGAATACATTGTATGATTGTTTTCTGTTTTTTTGTTTTGTTTTTTTTTTTGGTTGTTGTTGTCGATAATTAAATCACAACCTTGCCAGTCAGAATGAAGCTTGATTACTTTGGGCAAATTAATATTTGTTTTTCTCAAAATGTGCTCCAGTGAAAGTTGCTGTGGAACATTGCTTGACTAGTCTAGAAAGTGTTTTCTTCAAAGATAGTAAAAATATTAAATGATAACAGTTTGTTTGGTATCATTGTACCATGTTGCAATCCTCTGATTTTTGTAAATTTGGCTTTTTCATAGACAGGTTGAATTCAGTTATTCCAAACGTGATTTAGTAAGGTCTAATTTGGTGTTTTTTTTTTTTTTTTACAATAACTCTTTGATGACTCAGTGGATCAAAGTTTCACAACTACAAAACTACTGACGAAGACAGCATTTCTTCTTACTATGTTGATACAATATCAAACAGTCAATTAATGAGAATAAAGAAAAAATATCAGTAAAGGGATTATCAACTGATCCAATACTAAATTCTCCAAACTAATACCATGAGACTTGTATGGCACAAAGTAAGGAGAATAACAGTAACTAAATGCCAAAAGAAGTATCCTTGTGTTGATCAATGGAAAAAATTCAACATTACCCATGTGCATGCATCCTACAAAAA